TTAAGCATTCAATCCACTTCATGATTTCTGAATTAATCAAAACCAAAAGTCTTTGATAATGAGTTTCGATATACGGAGCCGGAACTCAATTCCAATAAATTTGGCGGTGGCCATGACAATTGTGACGTCTGTACATGGTTTCGTATTATGCGACCGGACATTTAAAGCATTCCTTAGTATTGCATGGACTGGCAAAGTTTTATAAATCGGTGAGCGAGCAGTTAGGAAGGACGTGTGACGTTATTGCCTGGTTCAATTTATCACACACAATCTGGCGTGAAGGTCGAGAATGTATTCATAGGTAAGATATCGCACTGCATAATTGGCGAATGTCTTACAACAGTGGCATACTACGTATTCCAAAAAGTTGGTTACCAAAAGGCGAACATTGTTGTTCCATCCTGACATTGCCCCCGTGATCTGTTGGATTATGATCTCGGGGCAAATCAGGCTAGGAAAAGGGCGCTCCAGAAGTATGTGTACCAATATGAAGGTAACTACTTTTGTTTGCCTACTTTACATCAAGTTGTGTAAAGAGACTGAACCTATGAGATATATTCACTTGTCTAACACAGACCGTCTCGAACTCGTAACAGAACTAAAACAGGGAAAATCGGAATAAAATTATGGCCTAACCCTAACCTGGTGCACACACTACGGCGGTACCAGCAAAAGTAATGTACAGCGTAAGAGAAACAGGGATAAATTAGGACACTTAGCACTAGCGTCAATAAACAGAATAAAAGAATACATATCAGACAATTAGTAGTGGAGCAGCAACAAGATAGTACCAACATTATGGAGCACTGTAAATTAGAACAAACTCAGAGCAGTGTGCAGTCTATTCTTTGGCAATTTGTCAAAATATACCGTTCAATACTAAAAAATCCAAACGCTACTACGCAATCGATCAATTTATAATTTCAATCATGGACACCGGTCACGTTTTGTTCATTATCGTATCACAATCTAAGCCGGATCATTTGTTACGTCATAAAGAACGCGCGCAATTTTTAGCGGGTGAATTTAACATTACGTAATAATTATTGACAATTAGTATCTATTATTCTGTCACAAACACCTTTCTGAGAAGGCGAAGGAATTTTAATCGTGATTTGTATATTTATTTATTTTTGTAAATTGAAGTTTATATTTATTTTGGGTGTTTTATTGCGATTAAAAAATCTAAATAAAAGACATTTTTTAATCATGGTTTTATATAACTATATATGTTTTTATTCGATCATAGTTTAATCAAGCATTGATATATTCATTGGCTGAACTTCATCGTTATTGGACTTTTTAGCATTAAATTTGTTTAAAAACATGACGCATATTCTTTTAAAATTAGATTTCGGGCTTTTTGCGTGAATCGTTTATAAGCGGTGTGAACTAACATTTCACTTCAAAATAGGTTATTGGCCGTTCATTTGATCTAAATTCCAAATAATATTTTCGTGTATTATTTATAAATTAAATTTTAATATAATTATTGCCTTATTGTCGTATAAGCACGGACGAGAAGAACGCCCTCGCTAGAAAAATTTTAAATATTTGTAATTTGCCATTAGGCCGTCACGGTCAGATCTCAAGTTAGTATTAGAGTGGAGGAAGGGCGAGGTGGCGAATATACGTGAAGGTGTACAATTGGGGGAATTTGTAAACATGCTTAAAATTAGTATTGCAGTGGGTTACTAGTCTTACCAATTCCGTCCACCAGCTGGATAAACTGGTCTTCCCAAATCTGGTCAGAAATTATCTTATACTTTTACTTAACTAATGGAAGCAAATGAGAGTCTGACAAGATGACTAGAAGATTAGATTAGTATAAACTGCCATTTAGTAGTCGAATCGTTACTTTCGTAGTGTATGTACCAGGTTGGGCCATAATTTTATTCCGATTTCCTTATTTCAGTTCTATTACGAGTTCGGGGACTGTCTTTGTTAGTCAAGTGAATATAATTCTGCCGATAGGTTTCAGTCCTTTTACACAACTTGATGTAAAGTAGGCGAACAAAATTAGTTACCTTCATATTGGTACAAACACGTCGAATGATTTTTATTCATATTTGAGCAATGGTGCACTGTGGTCACCTGATGTGCCTATCACGAAAAATTAGAAAGACAATGAAAGTGTAAAGATAAGATGATATTTCTCAGAATAACCGATCAAATATTGATTAATTTTCGATAATGTTTCATTATTGTTAAATGAGTTGAATTGATTATTGATTATGAAATTTATATCAATGGAGAGGAAAACAAAAAGCAGACTTGATCCCATGACCGGTCAGGGCCTACTGTTCGTTTGTTTGGGTTTGAACAAGCAGGGTCGAATCTGAGCAATTCGACTCATATTTTTGGTTCGAGAGTTGGTCGGTCTGCTATACATCAATCGATCTATTTTTTTTTATAGATTCAAATATTGAGTGCATTTGTCCCCATCTCGTAAAGAAATGATTAAAAATAGTTTCAAATTTCGGAAATTTGGTATAAAAAAACGAGTTTTTGAACCGCCAGTATGAGTTCCAGATAATGAAGACTTATCGTCCTATTTTCCCGTGACAATTGGGTTTTTTTTATTAAAATATTTGTTCAAAATTGCGGGGGATTTCTGAACAAAAAAGATCAATTTCTGTTCGACATTTTTATCAAATTTCCAAACTTCGTCCGACATTTTCGGTTTGGAATTTTAATATTCTCGATGTGCCACTGTGACGTAAATTCACAACACATATCGATGTATTGTTTCCCGGGGAAGGGTTAAATTATTTAAAGTGTTTATTGTACTGGACTGGACTAAAATTTTAAAATTGAAAGCCACAGAGAGTAATGCGTATATTTTAAAACATCGGTGACAGAGAAAAAAACAGGACTAATGTCAGTAGTTTATTTTATCACATGCCGAAAGTACACAATGGACAAACATAATTAGAAAAGATAAAAAATACATTTTAATGTGGAGAGAGACGCAAAAATAAATAGAAAGAATATATAATGCAAGTAACTTATTGTGGGTTATCTTTATATGGGGAATGCGTTGTACGCCCAATCTTCTTTACCAATACTCACAATACGTATGCCTTTCTACCGCGCCTATTCACCATGCATTAGAATACATCCCTATTCTAAATAAAGAATTTGAGGTACCCAAAAGAATCGAAAAAATCCAGAATGAAGGAAAAAAAATCCATATTTTATTGAATCATTAATTCATAAAGAATGTATAAAATATGGGACGTTTTTCGACGTGACCTTTTGACACCGACTTTTGCAATAACATTATTTGTCAAATGAATGTAAAAAAATAGATAAAATAGTCCAAGTTTGAACGGCCTGCCAGTTTCAGTTCAAAATATCGTTGGTCAACTGGAAGAAGTCGAGAATATAATTTTGATGACGTAGAACCAATATCTCATGTCAGGGAATATAAATTACAATTATCGTGTTGCAGTTGTGACAAGAATACATCGAAACAGCTATCTTCGTGTTACTTGTCGTATATATAAGAAGTGATCTTTCTGAAGATTGGTTATTTGCTCTACAGGTGCTGAAAAGTTTCGAAGCAATTTTTGATGATTTTAGATTAAATTTAAATAAAAGGCGTGAAGTTGAATGAATACTGAATGAATTTCAATAGCTGAGAAAATAACGTTGATTTTGGCATAGATTGTTTTAGTTTTTACGTTTTCAGAAAACACTACACGACTATTTAGAAATGGTAATGGAATATATGGTTTTATATCAAATTTTTCTCTAACATAATAAAAATAAGCATAAATTATTTTGCGCAGCAAAAAGGATGCACATCATCCATATCTACTGCTTTAAGTATATTATGTTCACATACAGTAGCAGTCGATATCGCACCTTGAATAAAAAATTTATGAGTTTCTTAAGCAGACTATTTCTCTGTATGTATAATTGTTCATAAACTGAAGTTAGGTTGAACTGCGATATAAAAATGCGAATAATATTTATAATAAGTTACACGAAAAAGCAGTTTTCCCACCGTCCTTGGCTGCAAACTTGATGTTTTTAATTAGCTTTTTGGGTACTCCAGTAGTATGTGTACCAGGTTAGGGTTAGGCCATAATTTTATTCCGATTTTTCTTATTTTAGTTCTATTACGAGTTCGGGGAATGCCTATGTGTAAGCCAAGTGGATATACCCCCTGCCCATAGATTTCAGTCCCTTTACCCAACTTGATGTAAATTAGGCGAACAAAATTAGTTACCTCCATATCAGAAACCATACTTCTGGAACGCCATTTTTTCATTGTAAGGTGTGATGTGGGTCTATCTTTTGACATTGGTATTAACAGGAAAGGCATTCGCGGTGAGCTACCTTATCTAGATAGGAAATCAACCTTTCCAGCTTTGACATTGCTGCTAAGAAAAAAGTAAAATTAACTTAAAATTGTAGGTCACACTTACATTCATCATAGATGATATCCCGTATATTGTTGTAACACAATGGAATATAACAATGATTTTAGGCTGATGAATGCAGAAATTCGTCTAGTCAGTTACAAGCATGCGAAAAATACTCCCATATTCTTTTGGTTTTTATCTACAATTCTATTTCACCGCATTATGTAAAATCGCGGAGAAAAAGATGCTTATTGTGAAGAAGATTTGATACAAAGACTTGGCTTTACTTACTGGTAGAATTCTGCTAGGGACGCGGGGAATTTGTAATATTGAGGCGAGAAATTATAGCTTGAATGGTAGAGAGTTCACAATCTTATTCAAGGTAGATACGCTCACTACACCCGAGAAGCGCCCAATTCTGATTAGTTATTGAACAAAATGTAAAAGAATAAATAGGTCTGAGATTATAAAGGTTAATATAATTACTCATTATTTGCAATGTACGTCCAATTAAAACAAAGCTATAAACTGGCAAAAGATTCAAAGTTTATTATTTAATAAAGTCAATTGGTAGGCAGGAAAAGTACAGCAATGTTTTATCAATTTTTGGCGATATGTATTTTTATATATTTACCTTTCATTCTGCGTTTTACAGAAAAATTGTTAAAATTCATTATATTTATTTACATTTTGCACCGATCAAACTACGGAAGACATCATGCATGTTTTATTTTCAATCACTGTTGCGTGTATGATATTTGGTGCAGGTGAGTAATTTCTGTTACAAAAGGGCAAAATATAATATTAATCTTGACAAACTCGAAAAGCTGAATATCCTAGATACGAATGAATCCCTAAAAAAAGATTTGTTAATATATTTATCCCGGGCAGAGAAAAGCCGGCAAGACGGCTTATTCATATAGCGAACCACGACGTACCGATTAGTTACGGGACAATGTCGGATACATGCAAACGTGGCCTACACATCATTTCCGTTTCAAGGTTAAACAGGTCTTATTAATCATTTCGTAAAGAAAATACCTCCCAAAATAAGTCTTATGTCTCCCAGGCAGTCTCAAATCAATTTGACTTCATATTTATTTATCTATTTACAAATCCAGGTCGATGCATTACTTGCCATGAATGTAACATCTACGGGAGCGAAACGGATGTGCATTGTCCTCTGAGGGAATGTCCACCTGAATACAGCGTTTGCTCAACAATAACGTACACACGTAAGTTCCATTTAAAAAATAAGATTTTTGTAAATTGTATTTTCACCAAGTTAAACCAAGTTTATTTTTTTACCCAGTAGGATAGGATTTACATATTTTACATATTGCCCCACGTGGTGCGTGAGTAGCATTCTCAATGTTGAGATATAGTACATAACATGATACCCAGATAAGGAGGGACACCTTGGGATTGCTTGGAATTTCGCGGGCATTTTGTACATATATGCGCTGTTAACAGCTGACTGTACATAAAACCTATGAATAGTCCAGCAGCTGTCTTCGATACTTCTATTAATCAATCAAATCGCCTCTCCTAGCCAGTCAAGCCAACGGGCACAATAAAATGGGAGCAAAATTGAAAAATGTATAAATATTTATGCCTTCGCCCAGAATGGACAGGATAGCCGCGAACATTGACTATTTGCAACGGGGAACAATGTTTAAAAATAAAGCATCTGCGAAGGTTGTTAACTTCGATATCCAATTCTATATGCCTTACATTCAAACATTTCCCTGTACCGAGTATAAAAACTTTAATCCTTTATAAACAGCAACCGCAGATCCTGATTTAGGAGAATTGGACTGCTATCACGAACAAGACAATGGTACTTCATACAGAGGGACGTGGAGTACAACAATCTATGGGCAGGATTGCCTTCCCTGGGATGCAAGCGAAAATTTCACATAGTAAGTAGAATTTTTTAATTTTCGTAACACAAAAAAGTAATGTTCAAATATACCGACACGAAAGTCGCACAACGGTTCATTATGGCAAGGCCGTAGCTGGAAAGATTAGCGGAAAAGCGCGACTGTTGCGGGGCTATATCTTCCTAAAAGGTGTTCTCTCGGGTTAAACCAAAACAGCTATATTTAGGGTCCCGTAAAACGGATAGGAAATTTGAAAAACACGAAAGTCCGAAAACTTAATTTTGGGTATATTTTTAACAACAACAACGAGACCAAGAGCAACAACAACGAAAAGAATTAGAAGTCTACTCCATGTCCAAAAAATACTTACATTTAATTTGTCAACAGGGGAGTCATTCTAAAAAAAGACACAGAACACGTTCAGTTTGTTTTTCATTCGATTCCTGGAATATGTAACTACGCAATGTCCTATAAGAAAACTAGTATAAATTTTTTAACACGGGAGTCATTCTAAAAGACGACACGTAACACATCCAGTTACTTATAGATTCGATTTCTCGAATATGTAACTAAATTTATGATTTTCTTCTTACAGCGCTGCAAGCCACGGAATTCCAGGACTTGGAAGTCATAACCATTGCAGAAACCCAGATGGTGATTTCAGACCTTGGTGTTATACAACGTATGATTCTGATTTTTCGTATTGTGCTGTCCCGAAATGTTTCACTCGTAAGTTTTTTACATTTTGCTATTGGTGGATTTAAAGGGGTGTCAAAGGGGCGTGTTTCCACAAAGTAAACCAATATGGACTATAAATATCCAATACATGCAGCAATGCGTTATCAGTTGGTTTACAGTTTTATCAATCGCCTCATCTGTAGAGAAATAGTTTAGAAATTGCTTTATAGTTATACGACGAAGCATCTCAGCATATTGGAAATAAATACAATCAGAAATTTACAAAAACAGATCAAAAATATGATTTTGCCTGGTTATCTAAGATGAAAGTGGTATGAATCCTAGTTTTCCATTTCAATTGAAGCACATTAATGAAATTAACTTGAGTTTCTAATGCTCTCATTGCATTTTACCCAGATTTGATTCCAGTGGAAGAAAGACGATGTGGCTGGAAAAATCAAGAATATTGTAAAGACGACAACATGGGAAAAGTCTGCACTGAAGTCTGTGATGAAGGTTAGATATATATAAATATTATTCTTTTCAGCGATGATTGATACAGAAACGCAAAACCACAATTTTCTCAATTTTTGAACGATATTGCAGATTTCCAGTTGGTATTTTGCCAACAGGGAGTCATAATTTTGCATTTTTCATTGTTGATACCTACCTATTCGCGAACGTTTGTTTGCAATAGAGATTAAGTTATATTCTCGCGTTCCTACGCTATCCAAGTAAAGTGTTTGTAACGATTATTTTTTTCTTTTCGGCCTAGACTAATAAGTGAACAATATGCTGCATTGATTCGCCGTATTTTTATGAGGCCGTCTTATCGTTTTCACTCTTTCCCCGGAGATAAGATATTGTTATAATATACCTCTAACGTTATGCTTATATACAGATAATTGCAACGTTCCGCCAGACTACGAGTTCGAAAAAACAGAGCGAATGTTAACTGAAGATCCTACTACAAGTACAGCACTAGAAACAAGTGCGGCTGTAAAAACTAGCACCTTTATCAGCATGCAGCAGACAAGCAAAGGCGAAAAGCATGTTGTCAGCAGAGACGAGAGCGCTAAATTAGGGAGAAGCAGCCATCTCCGACAGGAACAAGACAATGATGACGGTGACGAAAGTGGAAGCATCACTACCAGACCGTCTTTTATTTTAATTTCTTTAATTGCCCCACTTTTCGCACTGTTATTTTAATGACCTTTGAACTTATTTAATATTTTATTCAGTAATTTTTTTGAAGGTTATTTCTTTATAGCTTACTAGCTACATTGACAACATAATTATAATGTTATATTTAAAATTTGACTGTTTTTGACATGATTGTTTTAAAAAGAGCGACCCTCGAGACATACATAAGAATATGAATCTTGCCAGCAACGCCCGTTTGACACCATATTCACGGAGTCAGTTGCTAATTTTAAGAGTTTTGAAGTCATTCTCTGTGAAAAGTATTTTCAAACGAAAGTCAACGCCTTCACTATCCCCGGTAAAATATTGTTCCCCACTCATTTCTTCAATGCTATTTCTCCTTTTTTATATTTCATAAACGTCGTTTTATTAAAGAAAATTACCGATTTGGGGATCAGGTTCATTTTTGTAATAAAATACTTTCGAATAAACCAGTGGTCGATATTTTATATGTGAAAAGCTAAAAAGTACGCCGCCGACCGACCTAACCCACAAGGCGGTTCTAACCCAACTATATAACATATGGAAGAGGGTGGACTAAATGAAGACTCGGGTAGCATATTTTCAATTGGCGAAAGATTGTCAATGCCGGGAAAAAATTACAGATAACGCCTGTTAAAGTTCAAGCCGTATCATAAGTATGTGTATGTTGGAAAAGGACGAATTATTTTTAGATGAGACTGTAGGGTTGCCAACTATAAAAAGTTTCGATAAAGGACATAGAATACCGTAATCATTTATTTTGTAACTTGCAGGAAAGAACAATATAAAACAATGAAACAAAAATTATATACAGATATATTAGCTAAAAAGATATATTAAAACAATCTTCATGTGTTTTTCATTTAATGTTTATTTAACATTGACCCAAACAATGTTAATAAAATTGTTATTTCTTTGGCTATTTGAGCCGAACCAAAGCGAAATTAGAAAGAATAATTAAAAGCTTGCAAATACATAAACGGAGGCGATTTAAAAACGAAACAATATCAAACACAGTACTATAACTATCGGGCAAAACAACTTTGGGAAGAATAAAGAACAGTTAGCATTTTTTCTAAATGCCAAGAAGGACAAGGACCGAAAAGCTTAATTAAAGGATTGTCCTTTGAAATAAATAAAGGACGTTCGGTAATTCAATGTGGCCCGCCTGATGCTGCCGCAACCAAACTGAAACCAGTATTTTGATGTTTTAGCTAAAAATAACTCAAGGAATTTGTTGAGATTACGGTTAAATTTAACATGGTACAAGGGATATTGTTTTCCTCTGTTGCTTTTGTAACACTGGAAATATTGTTCATAAAATGTAACTTTTACGTCACACTTACATGACCCGCCAGTCAAGGTAGGCAAAATTTCTTGCCCCCATGTTCAAAAACCTTGCCTACCCCTGATTTAGATTGTTGTTCCACGGTGTATGATAATGTAGGATGGTGTTTGTGATTATTGAGATGTAGTGGTGGCCTCGTGACGTCCAGTGTAACGCTTAAAAACACTAATCCAACCTATTTCAATTTATATATTTAAAATTAAAAAGCCGCTTGACTGAAAAAAAACATATATTTATTAAAGATATTCATTAATCTGAATTAGCGTTGTAGTTGGGGCTACTTGAACACCTTTCGAGATCTTTTGCTACTCCTGCTGTCACACAAATAAAGATAATCTTTCTTGTTTGCATTGTATTTGCCATATTTCGATTTTACATTGTGATGACCAATTAATGACGATTGATTGGGTGGGAGTTGTGCCATTTGCCTGTTTCTGCCAGAGCTGTGGAATAGTGGTAAACTTGACCTTGCGGTCCGTCACTCAGTCTTACGGAATCGAGTTTCGAATTTTCCGGAAGCAGAATTTCATCCTTATAATGGCGGTCATCGAAGTCGATAAGACAGTTTAATCATATGGCGAACCACGACCTCACATCCGGTTACCAGCCCATGTCTGGTATGGAATTAGTTAGCCAGTTATTTGTTTCCGAAAGAATGGACTTGATAGTGGGGGAAGCCGTAACCGACCAGAGGTTACGTGAACCACACTAAGGTGGCGAGGAGTCCAGCAATCCTTTCGCGCATAATTATACCCGCGTAAACGCTAAAGCTTCTAAGATTGAGTCGACGTGCAACTCCTATTTCACGAATACTAGAAAAACAAAGATTCAACCCACTAGTTTAATTATTGTATTATATTGAGAAATAAGTTATAAATAAAAAAGAAAATTCATTAGCAATGTGACATAATAAAGACGCCACTATGACGTCATACAGAATGCGTAAAAGTAGAAAATAAACGGATAAAAAAAAATTCATAAATGAACTAGAACCAATTTCATTGAAAATGATTCCCATCAGTGCATGATGAACGAGGGATAAGAATTATATATTCACATGGAAAAAAAGAAGTTAAAAGCATGCGACAAAGTAATGTATTGAATATGGCTGTTAAGTTTTAGTTTGGCAATCTTTCATCGAAGTCCAGAAGTATGTGTACCAATATGGAGGTAATTTTGTTCACCTATTTTACATCAAGTTATATAAAGGGACTGAAACCTATGGGCAGGGGGTATATTCACTTGGCTAACACAGACAGTCCCCGAACTCATAATAGAACTGAAATAAGGTAAATAGGACTAAAATTATGGCCCAACCTGGTACACACAATACAGAAGTACCCAAGTCGAAGTCTTATTTTTAAGTTCCCCCATGTAAGAGTCGAAATTCTGAGTCAGCATTACAGACTCTCAATGATACTCAGAGAAGATTGGAATACAACTCTGCATTCGATTTTGTCGGGTTTGAAAAGACTCCAGCTACAGCATTTGTAGAAAAATATCAAACTGCGCAGCCTTAGATGCAAATCTTTAAACTACATTTGATATATTTTAGAAAATGGAATATGAGGTAATGTGCAATATTGAATGAATGGAAAAAAAACGAGCAAATTTCCAAATGACAAAAATGGTAACGTGATTGAGAATTTGCTTCTTCGTGGAGTGATAAGTTTAAGACACAGAGGTTTGGGGGTGCTCACTGATTTGCCACAGCTCAAAAGAACGTTTTTTGATCCAATTCAATTCTATGATTTCTAAGTACAAATATTTTTCTCCAACCAGTAAAAATCAATGGTTGACAAACTATGAGAAAAATTAGAAAACAGTTCTACTGGTAAAAGGGGAGCCGTGAGAATACCAAAGCTGGCTATCGAACAGTGACACTTAACCCTTTCCATGCGATTTTTATTTTTTATTAAATAATCGTATTTGCTACGCCGACTTTATGCATTTGTACCCCCACAACTAATCGATCGACTAACGAAAAAGTAATGATCCTCTGCTGCCCACTGACGGCTCGTTGGAAAGCTTATTTAAAGAGCTTGCAATTGGCGATTGAAAAATTTTTTTTTTTTTCAAAAGGGGTGGTCTGAGTCACAAACAGGATAGAAAAAAGACATTTTTTTTCTTGGGTGTTGAAACTTCAAGCCGTGATAAAAAATAGAAATATTCGCTAAATCCTTTACTGTTACCGCTTCTTGGTTGGCAAACAATAGCATAATATTACTGTAGCAATTTCGTTATCTAACTCAAAATACTTTGGTAGATGGAAGGGATAATATGTCTTCTATTACCACCCAAAAAACACCGAAATTTGCATAAATCAAAAACACTCCCTCGTTCCGCCGCAAATAAAACTCCCATGGTAAACGAAAGCGAGATTTACCGTCGCTTATGTTAATCTCGAAGAAGGCTTCTTATCAATAAACTAAAACCCGGAAAAACTAGACCAACAGTTTGCGACCGATTGCTAAATAAAACAGTGGAGTACATCAACGTACCCGCCGCAAACTAGCGAGTTTTGTCGTGGGTACGTATACGTGCCCACCGCACGGAAAGAGTTAAGGTTCTAATATCTAATTGAAACTTGACATATTTTGGTTTGGTAACTATCTAACTACCTTTCCTTGCTCTATGCCTTTGTGGAAGTGGATCCGTATGACGCAAGAATGCTGTGGCAAGAAAAAGACGACTCTACGATGCAAGTCAAGATTAGTGTGCATAAAAAGACTCTTGAATCAAATATTTTTGGTTTCGTACTATTGCTATTGTTTTCAGGGAGTATGGTTTTGACGAATTATTCAATCAATTTCCCTCACTAGAGATTATATTAAAAAGCCACTAAACTAAATCCATAAAACCATCACATTATTGGATTTCATGTCCATGTTCATCACCCAATCATGCCATGGTGATGTTCTCCCACATCTTGGGATCAAGATGTTTCTTTTCATCAATGTGACATCATCACTTTGACGACAGCATCATCATCCTTTGGAGTCATCTTTTTTTCCATCATCTGGTGGCGCACGCATTACAATCTGAACACATGAAAAAATTTTTTGAACATTTCTGCACAGAAACCTATAGATAATGATTTATTTCCGATACAAGTACATAATACAGTGAGTATAAGCAAACAATAATAATCATGAAAATATATACGGAAGGGGGCGGGCAAGACATAAAGGTCTAACGATCCTTAGGGAGAGTTTCTACCAGTAGAGAACACTCTAGAGCAGGCTTCACAATTACAGTAGGGAGAAAATAAATTGAGTTTTAAGCCAGGTTGAGAGGCCCCAAAAATCAATTCCCCAAAAAGATACTAAAACGAAAATAAAAGTTACAAGAAAAAAAAATATCGCATGATTATGCAAATCATACCATTTTAGGATAGGATAGGATTTACATTTTTATCCCGGGGGAGAGGAAAGCCGATAAGACGGCTTATCCATATGGCGAACCACGGCCTCTCGTCCGGTTACCATTTCATGCCCGGTATGGGATGAGTTAGTTATTTTGTTTTTTCGGAAGCATGGACTTGTTGGTGGAGGAAGCCGTAACCGACCAGCGGTTACGTGAACCACCCTACGGCGGCGAGGAGTCCAGCAATCCTCTCGCACATAACCATCCCGCATGGGATTCGAACCTGCGAACCCCATGCAGACTAATTAGAGGTGCGGTGGCGAGCGTATTCCTAACGCTTAGCCCGTTGAGCCACACCGCCGAGCCAAAACAGTAACAGTAATAAAACTTACTTGTTGTGTATGAAGTGCAGCTGCTGGAGCCCAAAGAACTTGTGACATTGATGGCATTTGCATTGCTGTGAAAAAAGAAATGAAATAGATTATCTTAAATATAGAAATTTATCCAACTAAAATCTAAAGAATATTTAGAATGAATCCAAAGCAAAATACCGAACAAGTGAATAAATGAGAAAACAAATATACAAAGACTGACGCTTGCAGTGTGGCCGGAGTAGAATGAATAAAAAAGAATGGAACAGTAACATGCTACAGGTCTACGAATGAACGAATATTGTTGTGTAATTTTAAACACCCTACAAGGCTACAACAAGTTTTTAAGCTGTGCCCCCCTTTTTAGAATTTCACGCTCCACCTCAAAAAAAAAACTAGCTAACAAAAACAATAGGCTACAAATAACAGATAGTAAAACAAATGTATGTTTTATTCAAAAAACATGTTGAAAATACGTGTACATCATAAAGAAATTTAAACAACAAAAGAATGTAAATATCTAAAAATATACCCCCTCAAAAAATTGTCTGCGCCCCACCTTTTGTGAACCACTGATCTACATTAAAGAACTAGTAACAAAGGAATACATACTTGGAACTTGTCGTTGTATGGTGTTATATGGACTCAATAATGTTATTTGGCCTTCATTTAATCTTTCATGAACTGTGAAATATATAAAAAAGGGTTATTATAAAAAAAAACTAAGAATATAAACTAATTAAATAATGTATTTGATAGAAAAAAGTCAAGTGAGTGCAATGAATGGAAAGCTAGTGTTTAACATGGCTTCGTTTTGGACTCCACTGGTATGTAAGAGCAGATATAAGGACAGGAATCATTCTAATTCAAGGATTTGGCGTTTCAATCAGACCAAGTCTTTCAAAACAGGTTTATTCAATCACCTTAATATGTATCCATGGTAACATTGGATTATGGATATTATACGAGACAAGTTGGCATTGCAAGTCAACCTAAGGTTGACAAGTTTGAGGGTATGGCGTGCCTCGTGCTGTGCACCCCTGGTATAATATATTGGGCAGGCGATGCCAAACTGAAAAAACCCAGCTCTTACAAAAAATTAACCAGTTATACCTAACATGAACTGGTAACTGGACGAGAGGCCGTGGTACGTCATATGATGGAGACGTTTTATTGGCTACCCTCACTCCCACAATAAAAATGGGTACACCTGTAGTATGTGCAACAAGATGGCGGACACCGGAACGTAGTACGTGTATCAGGTTAGGGTTCGGTTATAATTTCAGGTACAAATACAACGAGAGAATAAAATTATAGCCTAACGCAGGGGTGGGCAACTTCTCTAGTCGGCGGGCCAGATGTGGGGCAATGAAGTCCTCAGCGGGCCGGATTATTACAAAAAATACTTCGGTATCCAATCTTTGTTAAAAGCTCGACACTCTCTGTCAACTTTACGTTTCTTGGGATATTCCATGGTTAATAAAACTTAATATAAAATCTAATTTCTAAAATCTATTTATATTTAGAATCTAAATATAACTGATAACAGTAGTGGGGAATACTTGCAACGGTCTCTGCTTTGACCATATATTGACTATTTAACAAGTGTGCTAATGCAATTGTTTATTTCACCAGTTCGCACTGACAGTGCGGTGAGAGTAGAGCGATCGGCAACTTTCAAGAATGATGCATCGGACCACCTAACAGAGTGTGGTTGGATACAGTCAGCGGGCCGGTCGAAATCTCATCACGGGCTGTATGTTGCCCACCCCTGGCCTAACCCTAAACTGGTACACATACTATGTTCAGATGTCCGCAACCTTGTTGCACATACTACGGGAGCGCGTAAAAATGATATTCTATCCTTATCTCATAAATCACTCACCTATATTTGCAGGTTGTGTTAACAATGCTGGTTGAGTTAGTAAACCTGGAGTACTTGAGACAGTCGATCTGAATAAGATAAAGTTCCAACATTAAACATGATGCAATATGTATAATACAAAAATTATTGCTTGCACCATGTATGGGAGCAATAACAGGTTTCATTTAATTACTTTTAATTAATATGAATGAAGGAAATAAATTGAAAATGCATTGAAACATAAACGTGTCCCGTTCTTTATGCAAAAACTTTAAAGGGCGGTGCCTGTAGGCAATGAGATTCTATAATTCGATCAGAGTTTGGATAGATGTAGGAATCAAGACTTTAGGTAAATCGTTAAAATAGGATCGTTGGAAGTCAGATTCAAGAAAAAAATTGGTTGTTCTCAAATAAGTTTACTTTGTGAGTATGAATATAATGAATTCTGATGAATGAATGAATATAAATTCAATTTTTGACATTCCATCAAAGAATCCCAATAACCGGTAAAATATTCCCCTCAAAAACCAGTAGCTTGTAATGTATAAGTGACTGTATGTCTAAGTAAGGCCTTGTTCTGAGTGAACACATTTATCAATGCAATATATTTTCTATGTTTTGATTAAATTATATCAAAACAAACGAAAGTGAAACAGCCTAAAAATTTGAACTACATACACTCTGATAACACAAAAATTATCTTTGCTTTTGTAGAATGCCATTTTATTCGCATTCTATGCCCAACCTTACAAAAGTGAAAGAGTAATGTTATAATTCTATTCTAATCATGTTCTTATATGCTCCAATAGACATCTATTATACATTCCAGACTACGAGTATAATATACAAAAGAATGTATTTTTTTAAATTCACGGTCTGTGCAACACAAAGAAACAATAACACCTATTTAATTCTCTAGGCATACATGGCCATGCATTAGTGGTGTACATTATTCATGGCCCAATTCAGTCAGTGGATTAGGAAAAGAATTAGCTATTTTGTGAAAAGACATTCAGATTTAATTCTTCAGCCATATTTGGCCTTGCATCAGAGGTGTGCATTTTTTGTGACCCAACTGCTAATAATTCTCAGTCTATTGATATTTACTAAAACACAATCCGACAGTATAATTCTCAGCCCTCCAGAAGACTAAATTCGTTCACCTACTTTATATCAATTTGTATAAAAGGACTGGGACCTATGGGCAGTGGGTATATTCACTTGGCCATTGCAGACAGTCCCCGAACTTGTAACAGAACTAAAATAAGGAAAATCAGAATAAAATTATGGCCTAACCCTAACCTGGTGCATATACTATGGGAGTACCTAATTCTATATGATGTCAGTAGCATATTGTTTTTTAGTAATTGTTCATAGATTCGCTGAGAGATCATTTGTTTTAGTTTGAGTGAGTCTATGTAACCTTTGAGGAAATATTCATAAAAAAGTAATCCAGGCCGTAGATATTGACTTTACCTTGATGTATGCGAGTCTCCTGATGATAGTTGTATTGTTCTAGTTTCTGGCTGTGTTGCACCTGAAAAAATTAAGAAAAGACTTTAAAAAAATTAGATTTCCATATTAAATCTAAAGCGAAAAACCTGTAAGATATTTAATAATGACAGATCACAAGCAGTTTCTAATCCAACACCTTTGACAACAATTTATTGTACATTTTCATGCACTTTTCAGTAAAGCCAGGTCTTTTTACTTTTAAAATTGTACATATTTTTGAAACCCAATTTCTATATTTTAGTTTAGAGTTTGCAATATAATTCAAAGCCATACCTGACATGATAGTATAAGCAGCACCAGGTAAATGTAAAGTAGCAACTTGGCCTCTTGATACAGAATTTTGATTTGCATTGTTCATTGCTATTAGGTTCATTGCCTGAAAATTTGAAATATTACTTTATCATGGAACAAAAATATGACATGGATAAAGGCCAATGCCTACCATCACATATAGGGTGTTATAAATTGGGTCGACAATTTGCCAGAGAGAAGAGATCTTTACCAATAATAGCGAAGCCTATGAAACATTGAAAAATTAAAATCAATTGGCCAATAAGACACGAATAAAATTGATTCTCCCACCCAAGCAACTATTTAGCAAAACAATAATACAGTACTATACTCGCTTCCAATCAGGGATGTCCAAAACGAATCGAATACATTCAAAATTCGGGGCTCCCGAAGTATGCGAACCAAGATGGCGGACATCGGAATGTAATATGTGTACTAGGTTAGGGTTAGGCCATAATTTTAGGTATAAATACTACGGGAGGCTCTTGGCTAGTCTTCGAACTGATAATAGGACTAAAATAAGGAAAATTGGAAAAAAATTATCGCCTAACCCTAACCTGTTACCCATGTTACGTTCCGATGTCCACCATCTTGGTTCGCATACTTCGGGAACGCCCAAAATTCAATATACCAGATATAGTGAATTTCTGGAATTTAGGAATAATCTAGAACATTTTTATTCTAACATTGGGGACTTCGAGCTATCAGACAAGTAGATCAAAACGTAACATATCTCAACTGGTAAGAAAAAACCAGAGAAATGACCTCTATGTTTGTGTAGATGTGGTCAACATGAAAGACATAGTATAGTGATTTATGTAATCTTTCACATATCTTGGGCCCGATTTAGAATGTATTGGATATTTCATATTCGAAAATATTTTTTCAGAATGTATTCGTAATTGTAAAATATTCGGTTTTGGCCATCCATGTGTCCAATGGATGTTTTCCCGAACTATGACCCCTGAAATATTCCCCCTATACTTTATCACTGCAAAATTTTCATTGCAAATTTTGAGGGTGTTTTGGAGTTGGCGCACACAAACTTGCTCACATGTTCGAAACTATCATTCTTATTCAAAACAATCCATATGCTAGGCACTGATAGCTAATTTTATGCTAGTTCATCGCAACGTTTGTGGTATCAATTTTTGATTATTGCAACTTCACTGAAGGTCCTCGGAAGACATAATGACAATTAATTTATTTGATTTACAACTATTTTTGGAAACACAACTAAAAACTGACAAATAACACACAAAATTACCAAAAAGAGGCAATGTTTACAACCATCTGTCTGAGCGTCGGCATAGATTACAATTGTTACATCATTGTTAACTCATTGCTGATTAGTAATTGTTAGGGAAATAAATGAGAAATGGATACTCAGGGAACATCCATGATAAAATATGTACAAACCTCATTTACCCGTTCCTGACTATGTGTGGCCGGGGATGAAGTTACTGTGGATATAGTTTGTTGTTGATGGTCGTGAGATGTTCCCGCGCCTGTGATTGTTGTTAACATATTATGGTAGGTTTTTTGTAATAGTCCTTCCTGTTGAGTAAAAGTGATAGGTAAATGAATGCTTTTATATATTTGTCACAAATAATAAATACGGTAATCGTCACTTTAGTGCCGACAATGGGCAAACTATTGCCGTGGGCCAAATCCGGCCTGTTGGGTTATTCAATCTGGCCCGCCTGATGCTGCCACAACCAAACTAAAACCAAATTTTAATGTTTTAGCTAAAAAATAGCTTAATGAAATTGTTTAGATTGCGATAAAATTCAGTTTTGGCACGTGGCTCATTGTTTTTCGCATTTGCAACACTGTAAATAAAATTCTGTTCATAAATCACATTTAAACGGCCCGTCAGACAAGCTGGACAAAATTTTTGGCCTCGGGTACAAAAGCATTGCCCACCCCCGCTTTAGAGGGTTTCAAGACAAAATGACTAATGTTAAAATATTAAGTTGAGAGTTTTATTTAAAAGTTATACAATTAAATTTTTTGCATAGTGAATTTGCTTTTTTATTTATATTATATTGTGATGTGCTATTCGCCCTAAGTTTATCAGTTCTCTGCAAGCGAAAGTATCATTCTAAATACTAAAAAGTTTTACTTATTTTTCATATTTTTGAAGTCATAAATTTCACACCTTATTAAATGATTTCTGACAGATACTCAGAACATTTATGGATTTTTAATCTCTTTATTCCTTCCTCACTAGAATTATAACTCTTTGAAATACCAAGTAAGCATGTCGAGATACATAGATTTTTTTGCTATCAAAATTTGAGTTTTTCAGAGATTTTCATTTGCCTACTGAAAAAATGAAAAAGCTTTTCTAACATGATATTATACTTCACCTTAGTTTCCTCAGGAGGAGCGTACGATAAGTCGGGCTCTTCAAACCCTTGTGCACTCATTCTCTGCTCATCAAAATTATTTTGATTTACTGTGGATTCAGGAGGATCAGGTGAGTTCAAACAAGTCTGAATTAGTTGTTTGCCTAAAAATAGAAAATTGTATTCATGGAGACACTTTTAAGAACATTAAATTAAAAAATAATATACAGGATGTCCATGAAGTCCCTTTATAATTTCAATTTTGTTATGAAGTCGGTTCTCAATATATCTTAACCATGTTTGTTGTTCTCTTTGCAATTTTAAAGACTTTATGGACGCCCTGTATATTATAAAGCCAACAAGGGTTACTTTTTTTTTATATATAAAGATCAAAATAGTCACATTCACAGCTGAACTTTTGAGCCATCCTCACTACTTCAAACTTGGATGTAAATAATTTAGTAAATTTATCGAACTGGTGAACTCCTGGCTTTTCTTGAACCAGAGTACATTACAGAATATATAATACGTGCCCTGACTCATGTTCATGTAAAAAGTATTATATTCTCATAAAACTAAACGATGGATGAAAAAATAATTGTCATTTTAAGATTCAAATATAGATTTAAAAATCACCCTTAAGTACCACAAAGCAGCAATTTGTTGTTACACAGTTGGCGCATCGTGCTAACTGCTATGCATCAGGAACACTCTAGCAATCCTATATCGAAGAAAATTTCATGCGTGGTCTTGCTGGGCTCGTTCACCATCACAGTTTGGTTTATGTAACTGTTAAATTTATTACGGCTTCCTCCATCATCAAGTCCATGCATTTGAAACGATCGAATGATTAACTATTTCTTCTTTGACATGGACTGGTAACCAGATGATACCATGGTTCGCCATTTGTAAACCCGTCTTATTGGCTTTCCTCTCTTAAGGATAAATATAAAATTTATATCCTAAAATTTTTATGTTTTTTTTATTACCTGCTTCACTTGAAAGTATTGGTTGAAGTTTTCTTGTTGCAAAAGTATAGACATGACCAGTTTCACTTGCTACAAGAAGCATGACTTGAGTTCCTGTCAGTGTTGCAAGTTCATGAGCCTGTAAATGACAAATATTTTGAATGATCTCATCGCAGGTTGATGGAATGGGTACTCCCGTAGGGTGTGTACCAGGTTAGGGTTAGACTATAATTTTATTTCAATTTCCTCCTTTAAGTTTTATTACGAGTTTGAGGACTGTCTGTGTTAATCAAATGAATACCCCCCTGCCCATAGGTTTCCGCTCTTTTACACAAATCGATGTAAAGTAGGCGTACAAAATTAGGTACCTTCGTATTGATACACAACACTTCTGAAGCGCCAAATCTCATTCTCACTACCTAACCCAGTGTGTAACAAATTGGGAAGGCAATGCTGAACCAAAAAGATTCCTAGTCCTTCCAAACTAAAGTATAAAACGAAACATACAAAAGGTTTATTTCTTTCAAAGAACTAGAATTATTAATATTGTCATTTAATAAAGTTTAAAGTGACGTTTGACACTGTTTTGTTCGCACATAAAAATGCATAAATTTATATTAAAACAAGTCCACAATCTTCAGATGAACCCTCAAAAGGGTCCTGATAAGCTTGAAAAGCATTGCTCTAGAACAATATATTCCAGAATCAAATATATTTCAACGTGCTGAAATAGAGTATTCACCATAGACAGAGCTGCCATAAGGTCCCTATATCTAAGATTTGTTTTTATTTTGAAGGTCTTTGTCATTTTCGTCCTAATTTCTGAGAAACGATATTATTATGGGTAGAGGTTGTAATACCAGGCACTTAGATTGGTCAATTCGAATGATTGCTTTACTAGAAATGATATTTTACAACCTTGATTGCTACGCACATTCATTTTGTAATAATTACAGCAAATTAATTGACACAATGACAAAACAATACCGTACCGGCCAAAATCAGTTTGTGTAACTTGAATCAAAATACGACTTTATGTAATATACGGTATATATTATGTATACGTATTATGCAAAGTATGATTAGACACGGGTCGCACTGGCATGACTACATTTTGTTTATTACATTTCGTTCTTTGTTATTCTATTATTATGTTTACCTGATGTCTTTATTTTTGGGTTCATATCGATGGCAGCCCTGACTATAGGCCATACACAATTAAAATTTACAAACGAGATCGAGAGGCAATGCATCATATTACATCATATCCTAATTTAGCTTCAAACTATTCCAAAGAAAAATATAGTCATGTCATTCGTCATTGACAAGAAACAGTGACGTAAATGATTTGACGAGTCAACTAATGTGTAGCAACAAAGTGCATGAAAGGAAGTTGTAGATCCTGTGACAATGTGTTTTGCATGAACATTGTGAGATAAAAATATATCTGGCTTGGAATTTCCTTTTAAGGGAATATAATATTATATTTATTACAATTTGGTCAAAATGCAAATTTTAATATTGACTTATTGAAGCTTTGATCAAATTATGCTTAAATCAAACAACGAAGCAATACTCAAATATCTAGGCAAAGGCCAAAGGTAAAATAAAGTGTTATCATAAAGTAAAACATAGCAGCTAAATTTTGAGCGGAATATTTTGACCTACAATAGGAAATTAAAAAAAATCTCTGAATACTGAAAATGTGTAAAGTGAACAGGTCCATTACTTGCTGGGAAAAGCGACTTTCTCACAACGACAGCAATTTAGCAAATAATCTCCATTATGTACACTTACAAAATACTACACTTAAAAAAATATTTTGAAGTTGGAAATTGAACTCACAGTAACTTGAACAATCAATTGCTAATTAAGTTTTGTGAGAGAGCAATTACAGTAGTCTTGTTATTATAAAAAGAATGAAGTTCTTTCAATAACTTGAAAGTCGACTGTTTAAAATCTCAATAGTGGCCACTGTGACATGATCATTTCATAACATGACCGACCATGAGACAAAATTCCACGTAAACATGATGATGTCATATTTGATTGATTCTTACATGTATCGGTTGTAGAATGACGATACACAGCAAAATACATTACAATGCAATATAAATAAAGCAGCAAATTTACTATGCAAAGGGAAAGCTATGCTCTATTATTATTGAAATGACAATTTAATGTCCACCTATATCTAAGGGTTGTGTTGTATTATTGAAATCATGGAGAAATGGTTGATATCAGGACCGTCAATAAGGGGGAAGATTTTTGTTAAAAAAGGCTAATTTAGTGTTTCCTGTTTTCCATCCGGGGAGGCATTTCTGATGAAATATTACTTTGTATTTGGTGTAGTTTTACTAATATTAATTAGTATCAAATCATTTTGTAGTCTATATTTATCAACACATTAAAAACCATTCAAACTGTACAAAAACCAGAGTGTGAGTTGCACATAACACTAGCTAAAGATTGAAATCAAATACTAGAATCAAGAGTTTTAGTGCATTTGAGGGAGAAATGGAGAGACTGAAAATTCACGAATAAGGGCCTGTAGCAAAAAAAAAGGTTGGGAACCACTGAGATAATCTATGAAGATCAAGCCCGTTCATATAAGACAATTCCACCTTCGATTCTGCAAGAAAAGCCATTGTGACTGTTCAATATGATCAGACATCCCCTAACGAATAATAATGTCTTATAAGAAATACCCTATTTGAACATGTCATGCTAGGTACAAAATTGGGAATAATTTTTATATTGTTATGAAAGTGTTAAATGTTCAGATGAAAATAAATATCATTGTTTGCGAAAGGGGTGGTCAACTTAATCAAATAAAAATTTAACCTAATTGGGCAAATATTCTTTTTTGTACATAATATGACATGGGCAGACATGGGTGGAAGACATCTAATTTTCATCAGATTTTTTTTGCCATTGATTTTTTCACAACTGTTTATGTTAAGTATTCAAAATCAAAATTTAGTTGAAAAAACTTCAGAAATACTATTCAACTGATTCAAGATCATATAAAGTCAGAGACTAAATAGCAAGTTTAAAAAATACAATTGCACCAATATCAAAGACTTAGATAGGAGATAATTTTTGCATTATTCCAACTTTATACCGATAAATGATACTCAGATACTGGCATTGCTGTGTTTCATGCTCTGCTTTATGATTAAGCCGTCTTACCAGCTTTTCGTTCCCCCAAGATAATACAAAAATCTGATCCTATTTCGCCCACATAATTTGCTGATCTGCACAACAGATTATGGTCATAAAATACTCAATAAAGCATATAAAAATCTATAACAGAGATTGCTGACGCGATAGACTAATTACTGAACTACAAATATATTGCATACTTTTCTCATTGAAATATAATCTAAACATATTTTTACAAAACTATTGAAACAGCAAAAATGCAGAAATTCTAAAATCAGGAAATGCAGTGTCATAAATCCTGAAATCGCTTGCAGAAACGTAAGAAAATGGAGAACCTTACCTTTTTCATTATCCCCGATTTCCTCTTACTGAATGTTGTGTATCTTCGGAGTTTGTTGTCAATAAATTCCATGTTAATTTTCACCCTACCCCTCGTTTTTTTACCAGGTTTTGGTCCTGGAGTCGACGGCCTACCAAGAGATCCATCGCACGAGTCTAAATCGTCGTCAGAATATGCTTGCCCCAATAAACTGGCCCTAAATTCCGCTGTATGCGAGAGTCCTGCCTCTTCATGAGTCCTTTTTAAGTTTCTACCTTGTCCCCCATTTTCCCCCACTGATAAATCCGTAGGTTGATTCATTTTAACCCAAAAAACGTGCTCTACTCGAGTGCAAAATTTGAAATCACCCTCAAATTTCGCGGCTGTTGCTTATATGGTGAGAAATAATAACGTTCCGTATTTGGAATACAGCTGTTAAGACGCATTACACTTCAAAGATAGTAGTGTTCCGCGACTGAAATTTCTACACTGCAACTTGGCATATTTTATTAATATTTAAAGTTAAATAATCAGAGCAAATACATACCAGTAAAAAATTGTTTAAAAACAATTTCCGAAATGAAAAAAAAAATTGTGCTTAAAATTTTAAAATTTCTTCTCTGCGGATGAATATTTCCAAATTTGTCTCGCACACCCATAAATGGAATGTGCTGACCATATTAGGCAAATACTTTCCAAAAATGGTGAATGACGTTGAATAAACCAGAGTCAATGCACGCGAAGTAAACAAAGTTGTTGAGCATTAAAGTTATTTTAGTTTTGGAAGATTTTCAATACGTGATGTCATAGTAATCGAAAGTCATAAAGATATATTTAAATAATACGTTTTTTGCTTTAAAAACATCTTCTAGACGTACTGTATCCGCATTGTAGTAGAATCGATGCTTATCACAGACTGGCCGGTATTTTTATAGTAACACATACCCAAAGTCCATATATGAAGAAAATTTACGCAATTTTTGTGTTTACGCTTTCACTTTGACCCCTACGACACTTCGATAGGCCTCTAATGGCCAATACAGAAAATCGTCAAATTCTTTATATATAACAAAACATTCTAAACACAACAATTATATTTACAGAAAGATGACAAAGTCGATTGTAATTAAAAAATGACACGCAGCCCCAGCGATTTGCTTGTCCGTTGTTATGCTGGTAGCAAAAAAAATATTATTACCAATGAAAAAATGCTAGAATATTTGGGCACTGAAAACGAACTAATACGTTTCAACTAACTAAACTTAACAATGCAAATTGTCGAACCACATAAAGAAGTGGAAAATATCATGAACTCATTTTTTTCATTTTAAGTGCAATTGTATTTATGTGTTATCGTGTTTATAAAAAGTTATGTTTTTATTAACAAAAAAAATTTAATAATGTAAAATAATTTAATTTAAAAATGTAATGTAATTTAATTTAAAAACCAATATGTTTCATGTGAATCTATTATTACTTCTCCCCCAAATTACCCCAACAACAAGACGAACAACAACAATTTAGCAAAACGGCCCATATGTAGGGCTGGGCATTTCGAGTCGAATAGTAAATTATTCGTATCGGTTTAGAGTAAAACTTCGAATCGCCGCCATATTGTTTTTTTTCTTTCGAATAATGGTCGAGGTGAATTCCCCAATTTTTTATTCATTGGAGTCATATTTTTTTATCAACGCCATTCTGACATGTGACTATTTTCTGTAGTGAGTTAATAAAAAACGTGTTCTTTATTGAGTGTGAACGCACAGCCATCTATCTGAGTGATGTATTATATGTTTTCAGTAATTCATGTGTTAGCAGGACCAATTACAATAAAAAAAAGTCGCATACAGTTACATATCTCTCATCGACTCCCAAGTATTCGAGATTCGATTCGAAAAAAATATTTGATTCTAAAATCATCAGGTATTTGAAAATGCTCAGCTCTACCCGTATACACACTTCAATCTAGTATTAATGTCTAATATTAATATTCACTGATTGGGTAACGTGTCGCATTGGGTAAGTTTTTATTTTCACATCGTTTCAGATGAACCAGTTTAACCTTTTCGAACAAAAAGATATCCAAATTCCACTTACGCGAGAATATGAGCAAATTTGGAAGCTCAATGCATAAAACGACCGAAGTTTAAAACTATTATATTTCCATCTTAAATGTTCAGATTGTTTGGAACGTTCTTGGAAGATTGTAGCATTATTATGGATATTTATATTTACATTTCGGGGCTCCCGAAGTATGCGAACCAAGATGGCGGACATCGGAATGTAATATGTGTACTAGGTTAGAGGTAGGACATAATTTTAGGTATAAATACTACGGGAGGCTCTTGGCTAGTCTTCGATCTGATAATGAGCCTAAAATAAGGAAAATTGGAAAAAAATTATCGCCTAACCCTAACCTGTTAGCCATGTTACGTTCCGATGTCCGCCATCTTGGTTCGCATACTTCGGGAGCACTTTACCTTTCTTACGTTTACGTTCCACACACGTATTTTCAACGTTTTTTTGAATAACACATAACAGATACTGTCGGCTTTACTGTCTGTTATTTGCAGCTTATTGTTAGCTAGTTATTTTTGAGGTGGGGCGCGACACTTGGCAAATTTTAAAAATGAGGCGCGGCTTAACAAGTTTGAGAACCACTGTTTTAGACGTCAGCAGCAAGTGGGTAACTTGCGACGAATCTGACAGCTATATTCGTCAAAATGTTGCAGTTGTGAGAGGGACATAACTGATAGACCATTTTGCCATAGTCAAATTTGCTGCAAATTTTTGCTGAAACCGACCTGATCATCTCCGCATTTATTACCGTAGGTTTCTGTACAACACAATATCTGTGCATTTCTATATTTTTGGCCGAGTAAACACTTGCTTACATTTTTTTCAATTCCGCTATTGCTGAGTGCTGACAATCTACCCGGCTCCAGAGCTGAGATTAGAGCTACCAACCGTCCCGGAATTAACATCTGGAATCCCGTGTCCCGGGCTGGTCTAGGGTTGTCCCGGAATTTATTGACAATCACGGCGTGATAAGATAGAACGCCATGTAAACGTGCTGGTTTCATTTAAAACTGGAAATGGATGAAATTCACGCGAATATCTGTATGGGTCATTCAAATAGAAGTGAGTTAAACTTGTGGATAAGACTATTTCGTCAACTGTGACTTCCTGGTGACATAACAATCAAATAAGTTAAACAATTGCAAAATAGATGACAACATTACATACTTCTGTCACCTTAATTTGGAAAAATCACAAGAGAGGTCACAACATGAAATCGGGAATATTCATGTAACTGGTCCTGAAACGGTCTCCGCGTTCGTTAAAAATACCGGCTTTTTCGCGGTATAATAAATTTTTCTGTCTCGTAATATTCAATCTATGACAACTACAAGAATTCAAAATGTCTCACTATTTCAATTCATTTGTGTTCAAGGTAACTCGCGGTTGCGGCGACTCACGACAAAATAAACTCATTAGTCATTACCAATCTAAAATACCTCGCCAATCCACGGACATAATAATGTGTGATAAACTGCCCGATTATATTTAGTTTTGATATATATTGCGCTCATGCGAATTTGTTATCGTCGTTACAAAGATCTGGTATAATATCCCAGGAAGTATATTTAATTTGGTACAATGAAAATAAATATAAAGTATATTAGTAGATGAAAAATACATATTCAACGACTCGAAATCCCCGCGGTACGGCTCCTGAGTCAGTCATTGAGATTACGCCACTCGTTGAAAATCCCAACTTTTTTAATGGATATGTGATGGTTTTTCTGTTGAATAAAATATTTAATCCATGACTGATATCCATATTTAATGGTTGATTTATTTATTTAATTGTGATAAATTAAATCTGCGATTGCGTCAATAAAATAAGAGCACCACTGCCCCAAAATACCACGGTAATCCGCGGACATAAAAATGTGTGGCAAAGTGCCCGATTACATTTTGTTTTGGTTCGTATTCCTGCAGTTGTAAACTGCTTGTCTGAGGAAGTCTGACTCTGGTAGGACGAAACGTTACAGAAATACATTTGTGTTAGTGTGCAGCTGGACTCTTTAATTGGATAGAATATGAGCTGTCCCTGCAATTTTCACGGCTTAAATAACGCCAAGCTAATGAAAACAATTGAGATTTAAACAAAATGCAATCGCAAACGGCTTAGCGACTTTATTTTCAGCGATCGAGGGCCGGGGAAACATCCACATGCATAATGACTATTAAAAAATGAACTGCATTTAAATTTACATAAATTCATTCGCAATTCTCCATTTTGTAAACTGTATTTTTTAACCGGGTGGTTGTCCAAATGTATTGGTAGTGAAATTTGGAAACGTTAGGAAAGCTAAGAAGTCTGTAATTGTTGCTTAGTAAATAAACAGTAAAGTAAATAGTTGTTGCAGTAAATAATTTTTGCATTGCTCAATAGTGATGAAGTGAACAATTGATTGAAATGTCACGTGTCTTATGTGAACGAAAATACATTTATGAATAGGTTTCGTGTTTAGTTTTACTTAAAAAATAGTTTGACTTTACCAGGTATTGCAAACTGAGCGGAAAAACGAGAATGTCTGATGGCCACTATTTGGCTTTATACATACGACAGTGAATGGCGAAGTTGTACTCCGATGCGTTTTATGCCTAAATAATCTGAGCAATGACGCTATGAGACCAACACTCTTACAGCGCTATTGTAATGTTTAGCAACCTGCCCATCACAAAAGCATTTTTTCAAAGCAAAAAGAGAGGGGGGGGGGGGGCGCGAAGTTTGTGAAATTTTTCAAAGAGGTTTTTGATTATGATAAGATTATTTAAACGGCTTGAATTTGTGAAAATGATGCTGCGCGATTATCACTCTTCGACGCACACTGTTGCCTTGGAGATGTCTTTCGTTTTTCACAAGCTTTTGTTGCATCAATTTTAGACATTAAGGTGTCCCGGAATGGTTTATTTAACACAAAGTTGGCAACCCTAGCTTGAATTTTCATGACGAAGATTACCGTGTTTCCCTGAAAATAAGACTGGGTCTTCTTATTTCAAATATCTTCCGAAAATAGTACTAGGGCTTATTTTCGGGGGATGTCAGTTTTTTCATCTATCAAAAAGAAAATTACAAAAAGAGAAATACGAGATTTTCAAACATACAAAATATAACACGTTTTTATTCAAAATAGCTGGAAAACATTGACTAGCTCTTATTTTAAAGGCTTATATCAAAATAATTTTTAAAATTCAGGCTTGGCCCTTTTCTTGGGGAAGGTCTTATTTTCAGGGAAGCACGGTAGCTCACGCTCTATGTCAGTGCTTCTCAACCTTTCACTGACGGAACGACTTTAGTGCTTTTTACTCTGGCGCAGCCTTTTTTTGGTTGGGGAAC